CCTCCATTTAGCTGTCTGACCTAAGTGGGTTAAAATCTAGGGCGAGGCCTACCTATACAAATGAATGGGACGCGGACTCTCTATCTTGGGGGACTCTCTGTCACATTACACCGGTACACTGTTCGTGTTAAAAAAGCTGGATTGAAAATTGCTATCAAGACCCAACATCATCAATGTGTATTAAACACGTGGCATCAGTAGAAAACCACTATATTATATGCCAAATTACATGTATATTCCAGTTGTATTCATATTATGATAATATATCCTTTGAAATCGCGTACATGCTTTATCAGCTCAATTCAATTTTACCACATAGCAATGCATGACTACCGTGAATGTAAAAAAGCGAATCGAAAAGCAAAGTGAATATAAGTGCACTTGTCTTACAATCATACTGTAATTGAGAGTAAAAAAATACATTGTAAACTTTGTAATCATCACGTAAACATGCCCTTCTTAATATAAATGATGTACATATAGCATACAAAGTAATCCAGTTTCTTATAAATGTATTGGTATGATGTTACACATGCTAAGGGCATAAATCACTCTAATGTAGCGTATCTGTAATCAACGTGATACACAGCTCGACAAAAAAAAAAAAAAAAAAAAAAAAAAAAAAAAAAAAAAAAAAAGTGATAATATTGCCTTCGTAAAACGGAATTTATGCGTATAAATCCGTTATCGTTCAGACATTATACGCAAGTCTCCGCGATTTGAACTTGTATATAAGCATAACATACATGTACAACAAGCTTTGGAAATTTTAAGAAAGCATTCTCAGTTCAGTATAATTAAATGGCCTTTATGTTGACGGTTTACCTTAGGTACACGTAACATCTGACGTTATTAGGTCACGGTTCGGTTTAATATGAAGACAAACGTGTGAGAATGAAACAGCAAAATTCAAAGTGCAGTTTATAAAGTCAGGGCGCACTGATCGGACACTCTATTATGAGACAAAGCCCAACATATAACGTTTCCTTGCACTGGTCAAAGACCTTTAATACAAGAGAGCCGTGTAACGTGACAGAGAGCCCCACATGATAGAAAGTCCGCTTCCCATTCATTTGTAGGCCTACAGGTAAGCCTCGTCCTAGATTTTGACCCACTTAGGTCAGGCTAACCCTAACCATTATAACTAAATGGAGGGCGGACTTTCACGCACCCTCAGTTTCTTTACACCGGTTTAGTACGTCGCTCCCCCTTTTAAGATTGGCAAGCGGTAGGACGAAAACAATCACCTCACTGTACTGACAAGAGAATTAAAAAAAAATCTGACAAACAAGTTCTTTTCTAGACGACCTACAGCTCAGTTAGTGTTGCGTAAATGTGCCAGGGAAATGAATTGTAAACCAAACTAATCTAAGACAATGATATTACCATTTTGAAATAAAATCAATTCATACAAAAGAAAAAGAATGAATCATTTCTTTCCAACACAGGCTGTAGTTGCCAGTGAGATACGAGTAGGAAAAAAAGGGAGGCTTAATTGCAACAAAACTGGCAAAAAAAAAAAAAAAAAAAAAAAAGGAAGGGGACGGCGAATTTCACATTCGTTTTGTTCATTTGTTTGGGTACTTTTGACAATCATTGCATTTCTGTTCTATGGCTTACCATTATAACATGCACGACATAGGCCAATATACTCCTAATCTCAATCTTCAGTTAGATCGAGTCTCTTTGGACAAAAATTTATGATGTTAAGTATTTCGATTCCTGTGAACATCGATCCATCGTTTTCTTGCTGAGAAATACTCGTAACTGAAGGTATTGGGAGTAGAAGAGAGGTCACTACATGTGGGAACATAGAGAATTATGTTAAACCTAAACTTCATTTGGTGCCTACTCGTTATTGATACAACCGCTGCCAATGGCTCTTTGTTAAACACGGTCACACATCGGCCTTGGACTGCGGTTGTCTTTGCAATAGCTAAGTTGTAGCTTTTGGTGGGAAAGGTGTCTGTAGCAACACCTGCGTCAAAGGCCTGTGCATGCAGCAATGTCTCTGGTATTGTTTAATAGAGAAATTCTACAAACAATTTGACACTGGCAAACTACAATAAAGCATATTGTTGAATATTCACCAAGAAGACTAAAAGTGGCGTAGAAACACTTGATATGCTTGTATCTATATTGATAATGGGAGTCAGGTCATCTCGTCCAAAAAGTCCACCCATCCTGAGTCTTTTATCGATTGCAACATGATTTGAATTGTGAAGATCTGTGGAGATCTGCTAAAAAGCGTTACCAGTGAGTGCAGGCAAAGGAAATTTAAAAGGGAAATGGAAAGGAGTGAAGCCATAAAAAACTAAATTGATACTGTAAAAATGCAAGCATCACAAGTTTTCAAATATTATTTCGATGATTTTCGATGACAACTAATACAAAATATATGTTGACGAAAGCCATGTTGTTTGACCAATTAAAATATATGTTGACAAAAAATATATATTGTTTGACCAATTAAGGTCTTTCAAATGATTTTTTAGAAATTAACAATCTCCAATTTACCAAAAACCTCCTGCATCACCTGATTGTATTTCGTGTGGCGCATGCGCAGATGTGTTTCTCCTGTGCTGTCAATGACCCAGTCAATATCAGTAACGTGTTCGCTGTGCTCTTTGCCATTGGAGACGGCAAATTTGAGAAAATGGCCAAATATTGACTTTTCATCAGAAAGTTTCTGTGAAGTATTTGAAATTTCGAAAGTGATCACAGCATAGATTTTCATTAATACCAGTGTTTTGCCTTTTGGACATTCACTTTCAATATTTGTTGCACGCACAACGTCTGTTCATTGCTACATTACTGCAGTCTTAGTGCTTGGGCTGCTGCAACTACATTGGGTGTGTAGAGGGAAGTAGAATCCTTCAATTTTACTATTCTTTTTACATTTATGATAGCACTTACATTGTAAAAAATCTAAATGCTCTACCTATAAACTCTAATATTTATTACCAAAATAAAAAAAAAGGAAGCAGTGACTTACTAAAATAAGATTTTAGATTTGCCTACTGTCCATTTTAGGGGTATCCATTATCTATACGAGTTAAAAGGCAAGATTTTAGATTTGCCTACTGTCCATTTAAGGGGTATCCATTATCTGTACGAGTTAAAAGGGAAGAAAAGTTGGCTGATGAAACATAACGACCCATACATGCCGCCAACGTAGGGGCATTCAGTTTGCGGCATCAAACGCGTTTTATTTGATTATATCTATTCATTATAATTTTTGAATATACATACTATCCATTTTACATCTGCCAAACAATAAGCCTGTATTTAAAAAAACGAGATTGTAAAAATTGTCACGCACAACAAAAAACCACAGTCAAATTGTGATACGTTTACCATCCCATTTTATTGCCTGCGTTACGGGTCAACCAGCAGGATTTTAAGTGTAATGAATAAAACTGACGGTACACTTTTTATTATCACCGACAGCGGGTGGGAATAGGGGTTGGCGGGGGGGGGGGGTATTTTATGAGTCAAAATATGTGTTAATAAGTCCAATAAAAATATATGCTTATGTTACAGAATTTGATAACGAAATTTAACGGTTTGTGTCTCTTGAAAGATTGGAAGGTATCCTTCATCCATACTGCCGAAGCGCACGTAAAGATGATAAATAAAATTTACTTTCAGAATGTCTCACGCCATTTAAGTCACACAAATGCATTTGAAACAGTAAGATTCGAACTCATACAGACGGGTGGCCGGATTCACAATTCCTCGATTGAAGATATAGTAACTACATTAGTGTCTACATGTACCTACCGGGTAACTATAGTTAGAATTTATAGAGGAAGTGCTTCGGGTGATAAAATGATCATGTTTCAAAACTTTGGGATAAATTTATTTCTGGAAAAGGTCAGGATTCGCATTTCGATGGTGAAAGAGGTTGTGATTCAGTAAAAGACCAATGTTTACCTTATTTGAAGATAACAGATCCAGCTGAACGTTTATTATTTATTTATTTATTTATCTTGGACTAAGATCTCTGTATTGAGCATTGTAGAGATATTACTGAAGCCATTGAGTCATACTTTCTTTATACAGCAAATACAATAACATGAAGTACAATGTAAAAATTTATCAAATTACATTAATATTTTTAGTTCGGCTTTTTTTTTCGTTTCGATATATCAAGTAATGCGGTGCCTTCGAAAAAAAAAGCAATTCTACTCAATTGTCCGGTTACCAGCTTGAACGTGTAAAACACGCATAATACTTTCAGTATCATATATCAATTACTTTAAATTATCATTATAGATTTTCCCTTGCGAAAATATGTTACTGCTTTATCGAATCAATTTAACCTAGTAGTCGCTTTAGATAGAAATTACTCTCAACGTGAGACTCGAAGCCAATGCGTATAATGGTATTTACTTGTCCGAACCTATTTATGGGTGACAGGAAGCACGGCGGATGAATACCCAACGATTTTTAATGCAATACATGTCCTTTATTATCGTATCCGGCGTGCCACTCATTATTTAAAGCCACTGACAGTAGACGATCGTCTGCTGTATTTGCTGGGTGATTTCTCTGAGGTTCTTGGTTCTGTGAAGATTCAAAAGCTCGTTAAGACAAAATTAAAATTTGAATGTTTTGGGACTAATTGGCATTAAGAAAGGTTTCATCGTAGCCAAAGGCAACTGTACTTGAAAGGCAACGTCTGTTGCACAGGAAATTTGCATTCTTAAACCAAGACATTTGTCAGAAAAAAAAGGGGGGGGGGGGGCAGGGGAACGGTAACGTAGTTGTGACTTTTCTAGGGGATTTATAAAAAAAGATATATACTTAAACAAAACCTCTGTAAGATTCATTATTTGGGAACCTTAAAAGTTAATGAAACAAAAAACGGTTTGTAATGGAATGTTGACTTCATATTGGCTCTCACTCTCTTTTTTCTCTCTTTTTCTCAAAAAATCAATACTATAAGATAAACAAAAAACAAGATAAAGTTCATTGGAGTTCAGACAGATAAACTTTGTTAAAATCCTGGTGGTATACAAAATGGTTTCACCACACATAGGAACACCTTAATTTTTGCAGTTCCTTTGCTGGCATTAACCGCCGCCTTTATGAAAGCATAAATGATGATCGACTGCATCTAAAATTTAATGGGTACGTTATAAAGACCTGTGCTACAAGTGGACCTGTTAAATGAGTATCATAACTTCTTGTATTTCTTCTAATATGCCATTGTATACACAAGTTAATCATAAATCCCACTCCTGACTAAACGTAGCATCCGGACTACCCTGTTCTCATAATGGAGAAATGACCGCTCCAAGTAATGGATTACATAACATGGACATTTCTTAAGTAGGCTTAATGCTATTTCACACACCTTGTATGTATTGGATGTATAAATTTAGTATATGAAAAATCGAATTTAGATAACAAAATATAATTGACTTGTACATTTCATCCACCATAAAGAAATGTGTTTGCATTTGTTCCAGGGCGGTACAAAATAGATATAATTGGTTAGGATATATGCCAAAGACTTTTTACTATTGTCACTGCTCGATTATGATTAGAGAGAGCATATATAGAGCTAAGGTTTATGCACTTAAGTGCGCGAGAGTCAATGCCATGTAGTGGTACAACTTGAAATACCACTGAATAATATTATATAATATAAAGTATAAGGCTACAATGGGCACTACCTATTTGTGTGAGACTGTAAATACTGATGACATAACGGTAACATCACATTGAGTGGAATGTTGAGCGATTTGCTTTATCTCCTCTGTGCCTTTTCTCCAACAATTCTGCCATTGGTTAACTTAAGGGATGGCGAAACACCTTATACAGTTGTTTTTTTAAGATAGATAAAGGTTCGTTTATACAATGCGACATGGTAGGAAAGTCTTTTTCAGTTCAATATTTCGAAAACGGGTATAAATGGAAATAATAGCACACAGACAAAAAGTATTTGTGTCCACGTCATAGACAAAATGGCCGTAAAATTACTTGCCCTCAATGTTATTTGGACCTTTCCATTTTCAATTTATTATTAAATGCCCTGTCTTTTGAAATGGAAATATTGTCAATTACCAAAAATACTAAACAGTACTGACGTCATCTATTTTTAAATCCCGCGTCCTGTTCCATGAATTCGAATTTATTTCCTTTGACGTCTTAGATAGTTTTGTTTTTGTTTTCTTTTTGGAAATTTCGTCATGTGGATTCCTGGACAAGCAATATATTAATTTGTCCCAGAACCATTTATCTGATACTTTCAAGTAAGTCGTTGTTCTCAAGTGAGAACGAAGGTCGGCCTCGATGTCATCCAGCAATATATCCTCTAATACTATGGCGATTAAATGCTTATTTCTCTCTCGGAGCCCTTGATGATAAGCTGCTCGGAATTCCATTAAACACCACTCACTTTTTAAGAAATTCTCAGATAACACCATAATTGTATGCCTGCTGGCCTCGATACTTTCGATGATGTTTTCCGCAATCGCTGCACCTACGATAAAATCTCGGTAATGCAAGCAAAGTCTGAAGGGAGGCTTTTGGTTCTCTAGTTTTGGAGCTAATGTATGGACTATCCAGTGTTCGTCGCCGCTGTTGTAGGAAACGAAGGCGTCGAACCTTTTGGGTGGACACGAAAATCGAGACTTGAAACAACGACATTTCAACCTCGTGAACAGAAGAATTTGAATTTCTCGCCGAAAGTACACAGTTAATATGGCCGTCAAAACCACCAAACAGGCTAATAACCCTAGTACTATCCAAGGAATAATGCTTTTGTGACGGATAATAAAACATTCGTTTAAGTCATCCAAGTTGATAGATCGAATCGTCGTGGTTGTCTCCCCATGGTGGCAAGGGATGTCATATAAGAAGCGGTATGTTGATTTGTCAAGTTTATTACGTACAACTTCACTCCTTAAATGTTTCACGGCATCAGAATTGTTGCACCCACAATCAATTGGGTTGTTCCGAAAATCCACATGGGCTGCATATCGCCCTGACATCGCATTGACATTTTCTATTGTCAGGTCTTGGATGTCATTGTGCCGCAGGTCAAAGACACGATTAGATCCTCGCGGTATTTTCAACTCCTTGATACTGTTATAACGAAGGTCCACGTATCGAAGCTTTGGAAAGTTCAGTAAAGTAGCGGTTAGTTCTTGCGGAAAGACAGTGATATTGTTCCTGACAGCAATAAGAGTATGCAGCGCGGGATATCCGTGACTCCGTACGAAAATCGTTATGAAAAACACCCTAAAATAAGCATAGTTTGAAAATTCTACAATCTCCATATGATTATATGAGCACCAATGTTGGGGTTGTCGGAGGGTCCCGTTTAATTTAGGCTTGCTGTGACTTTTGATAGTTTTCAGAGTTGAATTATTTGTTGAGTTATTTTCTTTTGATTGAAATGAAATCTTCGGCATTGGCTCGAAACCAATTTTAATGTCACGCATGCGTAATTCGTGCAGTTCAAGAGAACCGCATTCGGTTTCTCTGTTTCCGTCTTTTCTGTGAAATGTTTGATTTAGACTCAGAAAATCTGAATACAGAACTGAATTGAAGATCTTTAAAACCTTTAGAACATCTGGGCCTGTATATGAGTAGTAGTCACCAAATGCTTGGTGGCGGAGATAATCTTTCACGTTGCATCCTTCAATTTCCAAAGCTTGAAGACCAGACACTTTCATTGGCCATGGTGCTGATATATTCCCGCCACTGTCACATTTAACCTTGAGTCGGTTTGTCCTATTGACTGTTTTAATCCAACTCTGATATTTTTTCAGAGATAAATGACCATTAGCAGGAATTTCACACGAGACGTTAATCGACTCGTCGGATGGATAAGAAACATCACAGAAGTGCCAGGGAACCGGGATGAACGAACCATTTAGAGAACGGACGATCTTCAGCTGCTCTTCGTAGTAAGGTGGTGAATCTGTCGCGTTACCAATGTCAGATCGCGATGCCGGCCCTGTATGTGCTTCGTTTTGGTCCCCTAACTCGCTGCCCAGGGTGTGCCAAGCAGCGGTAAACCAAGCTAGGAAAAACAACTCCAGAACTGCAAGGACAGATTTCAGTTTTATCCAGGACGTCATCGATGAACTGTCGTCTGCTGCTTTCTGAACCGCCTGCTTCAACCAAATGATTAACTGATATTCAACATTTGTTTTCTGAAAAAGAAAGAAATTTGATAACCTTAAGGTATTTTGGTAGCCCTTGACTTTTTTCTTTTTTCCAAACTGATAGCATCCTTCTATTGATCTGCTCATGTCAAAACTGTACGTAGATATTGTGGAAGCCATTATATTATTTATACAATATGCCCTCTTAGGGAATTGCTTTATTTTCAAAGTAAGCTATTTCGAAAATAAGATAGACATTTTCAAAAATCACCTATTTGACTGTGTAGATGTTATGCTTATGAAAAGATAAACACAAGGGACATCACCTTAATATGTCATTGTGCGTTAACTATGTCACACATGCAAAGGCTACGTTGCATATATTCGATCAATTTTGGATTTTCTTTTATCATCAAACAGAAGCTGTATGTGATACCTACTTGTCCTGTGGCATGAAAACATTGCAGCACGACACTTAGTAAACACACACACACACACACACACACACACACGTTAAATAAAGATAAAAATAATAACGGTACATACTTGGAATGGGCATAACACAAACCATGATCTACATTTTGCCCCACATTGCAGTTATTATGTTGTTGATTGCTATTTTTAGAAACATAAGACCAGTACAATTATATACTAGTATTATTATCTGTATAGCAGTCAAGGTTTTTTTCAGATTATCTTTTAGCTTACTTTGTAAAATTAGTTCGCCTGTATTAACATTGCTCTCACTTTCTACCTACCTTGTAAACCAACCGTCAGATAAGTATATGCTAAAGAGGGCCAACCCAAAATCGTAAAAGAAGAGCTCTCTAGCTCGCATGCGATCACCTGGGCGCATTTACAATTAAATCATTTAAATACCTACCTCGTATAAAATGATGCCTATCAGTCTCTCTGACGAGAGGCTGGGTTTTCTTCGTGACGCTGCTCTTTATAATGTACTGCCCCTAGATCTACCTTAGCCCCGTCAATCTGACTGATGGCGAGCAACACAAAAGTCGCTGTTTCCTTCAGCGGGGCTATACGTTCTCCCTTCGTCCCTAGACATGAGGCCTAGATCTACGATTGTAAAATTCCTTCCTCGAAAACCCCATCACTGTTTCTTTGTAAAGGAAATTGCCTGATGCAGTGAAAAACAGATTTGCGGATCTACTGAGCTACTGGCAGGAATGTTGGTATAACTGACAGAGCAGTTACGTGTAACCGGGCCTCGGTAGCTATTTTCTGCATTTCCCTACTTTCCTAAGCAACGCGATCTTTCCACGTCTGCTTGGCAGTGGAGCCATGGCGTCCATAACTTACAGAGGTTGTGAGAGACCGCAAAGTAAATGTCCAATCATCTCTGTAATGATCCGGCTTTATGTTATTAATCATGAGCGCTTTTTGCCGTGGAAACATATTAATCAGTACGACGCAGAATCATGGCATATTATGTTAAGAAAACCGAATTTGCTGAAAGTACCTGGGTCATAAGGGATAGGCAGTAAGCCACAGAATGAATGGTAATACAGGTTTTCAGGACACAGATGCAGAATGATTAACGTGTTCCATGGCTGTCCGAAAAAATAAAATATAGACAGAGGAAACTTGATTACTGCTGTCTTTTAGTTGCAGAGATGTCGAGATTTTTGTTCATCTTAATTGCTGCATCGTTCTCCGCGAAAGCGAGCGGGCTGATGAAAAACGAAGACAACAACACAATGCGATTGTTTTCAAATTCAAAGGAGGAAAGTTGGACCATGGAATGCAAATTGTAGGCACACTGTTAGCTAAAAGATTTACTTATGCTATAAAAAGCTTGCTTAACGCCATTTTAGACCCAAAATAAAAAACTTACCTTGTCATAAGTAACCGTTGCAGCTCAGACCAGCGAAATGCACTTCCTGAAATAATGATAAATCCATGGTCAATCGAACACCCCTGCTTCTTCCCTTCAACTAACCATGATTGACTGCTGGAAAGGCTTTCAAACCGCCATAGCTTCTAATGTTCTGGGAAATCATTCCGATGCAGTTCACGTGTCGGCCTGCAGTTTTTCCCGCTCGCCGATGAAATATGGGGAATTGAGCTGTTTCGAATGAAACATAGATCAACTGAACGTAGCGGGCGCACCTGCACACGTTCAGTTCTTGCACATGTGGCTCTGTGTTTTAGGTCACATGCACCTAACACATGTGTTTACTTTCTGTAAAGATCAGCAATTGTATGATATAAAAACGGACCCTTAAACTGATAATATTTATTTTGTATTCTTCTGCTGTGCACTTTGCGTAAAGCAAAATGGCCACTTTGGTGCTTCCCCATATCATTTTAAACAATTTCAACTGAAATCTCTCGTTTTTTTCTTGTGTTGATTTCTAAGACGACAGATGATAAGAATGTAGAAGAAGCAGATGGAAGAAAATCTCGAACGCCCGGACAGTAAAATCTCCGCGTATATATATATACAGGCACGTTCTGACATTTACTTGCAGAAATAATCCGCCACGAGACGCTGAGGTTGCCGTCACGCTATATATAGTGTTTACAGGCATAGCTGTCCCACTGCAATTCAATCGCAGAAGAACTATTCTAGACCTATCACCGGCCCATATATCATATCCACCAAAAATATCATCAAAATGTTATATATGTCCTAGTTTTTCAGAATCAATATGAACCTAGTCCTTTTGATTAATGAATGCAAATGATGTTATGGCGATAAAACAACTCCCCAGGTTACACCACATTTCGCTTATATCCCGAGAGAAAACTGTCATTATCTAGTATAATACAATTTCATCTCGGTTACAGCTCATTTAGTTATCGTCTAAAAAAACCATGTAACGTGTACATAGCATATAGAGATATATCTCTATGTATATTATAGAATATGAAATTTTGATAATGTGTCCAAGGTGGCTTGTAAAGAGGCAATGAAGATTGCAAATTGGGGGGATAGATGCAGAGTATATGTCAAAGACAATGAATATCTAAATCCAAAATACGGACCTTAAAGTTTACAAAATGTTTCAAGGTGAGTGATACATGTATTTCAGGCAATTTATCAAATTCGCCATTAGTTAAACTCGTTGGTTAATTGGTAGGCCTATAGCCAACATAAGTGCCAAACAATTTTTTAAACAAGAAACCAAACAGCGTGGTGGAGAAATATTCATAGCATTGCTCAAGTTACAATAATAGTTTCTTGAAACCAAAGCTACACACGGCTATACTCAGTTTTTTTTACCACTCGATTATTTTAGTGTCTAGCAAGACACCTTCATCGAGGGATCATACATGTAGCACAGCAAAATAAGATTTGTGTAATTTACAGCGACGGCAAAATTCACTGTTTTTAGGTAATACTGATTTAAAGTAATCTATACCGGGGTCACAGATTGATTTTTCATTAGATAATCGCAGATATGTCTCTAACTCATGACACAAATCTCCGCTACGGAAAAGTGAACATAATTAATCTGCGGCTCTGGTACGGGGTAAATTTAATGGACGAGGAAGGATATTTTGTTCATCTTCATTAACGTGCTTTGTTCACTAAATTAATGATACAGGACAAACTATTTTGGCGTTTAAAACCATTTTATTTCGTTGCGTGCACTTGCAGGCATTTTCCCAAGTGAATATACGAAACCCTAATGTTGACATTTTGAAAAGTTGGACGCACATTCGTCTGATCAATGATAAAGTTGTCATAAAAGAGCATCTTTAAGTTATCAAAACACAGTAGCGGTTGCATTGAAGAAAGCGAAGATGCATGAAGGTCGACCCCAACCAGGGTCATCCTTTCTGGGTCATTTGATATATTACCTGGGCCATTAGTCTAACTAAGCTGAACTGACCACCGGCAATAAATGAAGTCCATCTGGGACAACCCGTAAAAATAATGGTATCATCTTTAATGTCTTTGCGTCTCTGCGTATACATGATGTAGGGTTGTGCTTTAAGGCAAATCTAGCTATCACTTTTCCAGCAGACTGATACATGCACATAGAACAATACTCGACTACACATTCAGAGAGAGGCTAGAAAATTGAATATCACAAAGCTATCAAAGTACCCTTTATTGTGCATTACTTGAACCATTAACCAGTGCGCACTATTTACAGCCTTTCCCAAATGAGCATTAACAATATAATTTACCAGGAATTCGAGCATTTAAATCTTAATGTATATTAATCATTTATTGTAAGATAAGCAATTACACGACCAACAGCATGTACATGTACATATCAAACAACGTTTCAAGTTAGAGGGTTAAATGAAAAAGGAATATTTTAGCCATTCTGACATACATAGGAGTTGATAAATATACTTTTACATTATTTATAACATTGCAGAAACCAAGTTATAATTCAGTTGATTAAGACCTGTTTTTTCTTCTCTGTTTTATTATTAAGGTTTGTACATTAGTTTTTTTTCTACAAATGAATAATGATTTTGAGAATTTGTTCTTAAATGTTTGCTGCAGTACGTTTTAATTTGATAGTCGCTTTTGATACCTTTGACTGTATATCACAGGAAATGTGTCAATTCTACTCAATATTTACAAAAATAAATGCTTATCATGCATATTTCCTAAACTTAGACAATTTTTTCTCACATACAAATTGAGCAGCCTTTTGAGTTTCCACAAACTTGTGGCAAATACTGTTATATTTTAATTTTCGCCAATTTTGTCTCGTGGAATTTACAAACACGTACCCATATTGACGAAGAATGTCGAAGTATTTCTTTCCAATCAAACAACATCAGTAACTGAGATAGAAAAGGTGCTTAGATAAATGAAAAGAAACAACATCAATTACTGGCCTTGAAAAGGGGTTTAGATAAAAGGAAACTGTAGGGTCCATTTATTCTGGACGCTCAACCTACGACCAAACACTGCTTTGAACTGTGTGACTGAAAACAATTCCCTTGCACCGTTGAGTATAGAGTGCTAAAATGTGCATTGCTCGATTTTATGGGGCCTTTTATTGCGTGAGTGGGGTAAAATAATGAAAATTTATTACAAGGAAACATGTATAGAA